ATTCAATATTCTACAATTACTCAATATTTTTGAATTTAATGATGCTGCAATGAATTCGAATATCATATCATGATCATTAAAATAAAAAATAATTCAATATTCTACAATTATTCAATATTTATGAATATCATGTTTTTGAGATGAATTCGAATATATGGGTGAGAGTTTTTTGTTATGCTCGACGTTTCGTGAGTGTTAGCATTGATGAGTAGGCGAAGATTTTAGTAATGAGAAACTATCCAAATATTAGATGAGATGATTTTGTATAGTTTTGAGATATCGGTGTCTATTTTGTTGTAAAAGTGTTGACCTTGAATATCGATGGCTTGACATATGCAGATGAATGTTGATTGTTGTTTTGCACTGACATTCGTTCAGGTGTTGAGATTAATCACATAATAGTTGACAATGTTGTGATGAAGATTCGATATTTACGAAATAGTTTGATTTTGAATTGTTATATGTTATTAATACTTGGTAGAATCGTTTCTGAAAAGTTTATCGAATACTCATTCCTTTGTCAGATGATGTTTTCAAGGACAGTCTTGCGATAACATTTGGATAAAGCTTCGTGAGAGAAATGAATAATTTCTTGATATTTTTATGTGAATAGAGAGCAATGCAAAGATAAAGAGTCGTTGGAAAAAATTTGATTTGATCTTCTCAGGACAAATGAATAAAAGTTTGGCTGGAAGAATTCATCAATAAGACGATCTGTGGTTTTGTCTGCTGTTGGATCAGTTCGGCGTGAAATTCTTTATAGTTGGAAAATGATAATAAACTGGAGTGATTGTTCTGTTTTTTCGAAAACCAAAAGTGAAAAGGGAGAATTTTTGGAATAAGTATTGACTTCATCACTGCTAAACAGCAATTTAGGTTCTTCCATTCGGCGGCTCTGTTCGCCTAAATAACCTACAGACAAATTGGATCACACAAAACTCAAAAGAAGATTAAATGATAAAAAATTAGCGGTTATGTACAAGTACTTAGTGGTGTTGTTTGAATGATTTTCATTGTATGAATGCTCAACATGATATGCTTTTAGAATACCGTAAGAATATCTAAAAACAAAGCAAGGATCGATGCACATCGATCTTATGCCATAAATAACACTTATAGAAATATAAGAAATTTATCATAAATATTCAAATCGATTGAAAAGAAAACATCTGAATAAAATATAACAAAACGAAATTTTCCTTAAAACGATGAACGAACATTTATATTAACCAACCCCGGGCGAATATAATATTCCTTGGGCAACATCAAATTTTCCCATCTTTTTAACTTTCGCTTTCTTCCGATTGCTGTTCATCTTATCCACAATTTTAATATGCACCGATCAATCCCGACATCAAGACACATTTCACCTAATTTATATCATTATAAACTTAAGAAACACCGCGAACAAGCTTCTTATATGTTATACGTAAAAATTGAGCGAATACTTTCATGAAGTCGATCATAGGCTGTCTTGCGCAAGTCGTCGATGTTATGCAGCATTCTATTCTGCATCTCATGGCGTGATTTAGAAATCCAAACACTTCTTCATTCGTTCGCACGCTTCGAAAAAACACCCGAAAACTAGATTTTGTGACTGCGAACTTTAAACGCGAAGAAATAGTTTCTCGTTGCTACGCATGTTTTTTCTCTCAGATGTGTTCAACCTAATTCAGAATTGAATTCTGCAACGAACGGTGTAATTAAGACATGAACATTCATTTTTCGTCTTTCACAAAATTGGAAAAAACTTCCTCAAAAACTAAATTTTTTCACTGGGAGCGCTCAGAACCCGAGAGCTGTGCCTCACTATTGAGCGTACTCTCTCTTTCTGGTGTGATCGACTTTATGTAGGTTTGAATTCTGTATCGAATGGCTTAATTCAGAAATGAAAATACTTTTTTCATTTTTGACAAAATTGAAAAAAAAATTCCGAATATTAGATTTTTTCACCAGCGGCATTAAGAAGCGGATGTGGGTATGGGCGTGGGTGCGGGATGTCGATGTGGATAAAGAGATGACTCACACCCATACCCACTCCACGCACTCACACCAACACTCGTACCCGTCCTTGAAAAAATTTACAGTAATTGTGTTCGATTTATAAGTAAAAATCTCTCAGAAGAGTATGGAAAAAGTACTTTGGCTTTAAGTAACTGCTTAATGAATTAAATAGTAATCAGCAAAGAAGATATTAAAAAGTATCAAACATGTATCAAGCATCCCAAACTTGCAGAAGACTTAAGAAATAAACATTTAGGAAAGAAAGAAAGTCATTCACAGTAGCTCCTTTATTTAATATCTGAATCAACGGTTAGATATATTATCAGTAGGTCTCATGAATAGAGATATTAATGATTCGTTAGTAAAAACTAGTTTGGATAAAATAATGCTTTTTTTCAAGTTCTTTTCCACATGTGAAAAATACACCCATGTTCAAAAAGTTCTCGAACTGTTTTTATTCTATAAAAACGAAATGAACTACACTCAAGAGCTCATGTTTGGGTGTGGCTGTGGCTGTGGTTGTGTGAGTGAGTGTGGGGTTTAGGTATGAGTCTTGTATTCTTCCAGACTTCCCTCCCCAACCCCCACACCCCAACACCCGCAGCCATACTCACCACCCGCACCCAAGCAATTTTTACGATTAAAGAATTTAATATCACTGAAATATGAGTGTGTATTATCTCATTTCTCCAATTAGAGAAATCATCAGTTAGAGAATGAAAGAAAAATGTCTGAATAGAAAATTTTCTCTTATTGTAACCAATTGACCGTCAAGAAGCTTTCTCGGCGGACGAGACGGCATCGTTCATTTTATATAAGTGTTGCGTTTGGTCTATCGATTGTATGAAAAAAATGTGTACAATAAGAAATTCCAATAATTCCACAGAAAAACAAAATGAAGCAGAAGTAAGTCGAACATTTACATTTCTATTACTTTACTTTTATAATGAATCATCATTATTTTTTGGATATATAATATTAGTTGATGTAATTATTATATTGATGGGACAGATGTTCCATCGTAATCAAACGACAGCATTTAAATAGATGTTCCACAACATCAAAAGTGTTCCACATCCTGGTTGTGGGTGTGGGGTGTGGGTGTGGGTGTGGGGTGTGGGTGTGGGTGTGGGTGTGGGAGTGGGTGTGTGGGTGTGGGTAGTGGGTGTGGGTGAGGGTGTGGGTGTGGGTGGGTGTGAGTGTGGGTGGGGTGTGGGCGGATGTGAGTGTGGGTGGGGTGTGGGTGTGGGTGTGGGGTCTGAGTGTCTAATCAAAGTTTTCTCCAAGCCCACACCCACACCCACACCCACACCCACCCACACCCACACTCACACCCACACCCACACCCACCCACACCCACACCCACACCCCGCCCTTTTTCTTTTTTCTTCTCTCTTTATTATTAATATCTTTAATTCATTGGTTGATAGATGCTGACAATGTTGCAAAATCTCTTTCATATTTATGTTGCCGAGAAATCGATACGCTTGAATTTTGGAACATAATTACAAGCAATTAAAAAATTTTTAAATATCTAAATAAATTAGTGATGTCACTTTTTATTTTATTTAAGATCTTGGAAAAAGATAACAAGAACTACTAGTTTTTTCTATGACCTTGGTATGTGGAATCTTCAAGAAGATCTTACAAAGACCATAGATACAGATATATTTGATATGATTAAGATATATAGAACCAATTATCTTTCAAAGATCTTGACAAGATCTTTTTTACAAGATGTTTCACTAAGATATATTGTTGTATGAAACTAAAAACTGCAAACAGATAATAATAAGTTATCTTGCAAGATTAAAAAAAAAGCGAATCAAATTCCATCAACATTTCTCTTCAGCTAAAGCAAGAACGAGCACAGTCTGACATGGAGTATAAACCTAATGAAAGACGAATAAATTCTATGAATAAAAATCTTCATTTAAATATACCTGAAATGAAAATGGTCGATCATCCCACATGATATTCTCAGCAACAAAGATTTGTTCATCATTAATTCTTCCATGTCCATCAAAAGATTTTGCATCCGAATCAAGTACAATTTTATATCTAAAGGACAAACTTTCTAACCAGCCAAAAAAAGCAAGAATTACTCATTTTTACTTTCCACTTTGACCACATCCAATACGATAATCAGCGTAACTGTTACTGCCATGAAAATTAAATATAAACATCAGACCACGATCACCACGTTCGAATATTATAACTTTATCACCTTCATTTTTCCGACTAACGAACTACAAAACAAAACTTATTTAAATTCTAATAGTTAATCGAAACGTTTACTGTATTTGTTGCTGTTAACCATTTATATTCTTCTTCCAAATCATTCATTGCTTTATCCCATGCCTTAAGATATTTATATCTCAATGTATCATCTTCACATAAATAAAAAAGCCGACGAGCATATTTATAACTTTCATTATTTCCTTCTCGAGGAAAATCAAGCCACTCTGGATGACCAAATTCATTTCCTATACAAAAATCTCTACTAAACTATTCGCTCTCTTCCTTAAAGTACGAGGGCTGATAAGACCATTTTTTTGCACCCAACAAAATTAGATCTTTTTTATCGATTTGAAGTAAGACACCACTCCTGGTGATATTCCATAGGTTTTTTTTTCGTATAGCTCACCAAAAGATTTTTGGAACCTGTGGTTCTCCATCGGGATCTCTGAAAAAACTTTGTTTTGATTTCGTTTAAACACATATTTATTGATAGTCAAGTATGCTGAGATAGTAGATTAGAACTAATGTGAAATTTGGACTGAATCCTTAATTTCGAATGCTCTATTCGATGGTGAATTCAAAAAGCCGAAGAAAATGGTGCGTCAAAGTTTTTGAGGGCTTTCTGGAAAACCTTTCTAAGATCCCAAGGATTTCAATAAGAACCGACTTCACCATTGTGTTCAGCACATCAAGTAACCTTTATACAATTCTTTGGTAATCGAAATATTTCTAATATGCTGGATCAGAACATACATTTCTATGATTAGCCCATAGATGCTGAACACAATGGTGAAATCGATTCTTATTGAAACCTTTAGGATCTTAGAAAGGTTTTCCAGAAAGCCCTCAAAAACTTTGACGCACCGTTTTCTTCGGGTTTTTGAATCCACTATTGGGTAGAGCATCTAAAATTAAAAATTCAGTCCAAACTTCACAGCAGTTCTAATCTGCTATCAAAAGATTTGGAAACTTTAATCTCTGTGGAACTTAGTGAAAAAGCAGGTTTTTGACCGATAATCCCAGATTTTGTAGCCGATGATACTCTGAAGCAGCTTTCATTGTTCATATTCAACAAGATCACATTGTTTTAGCTATTATGAATGTTTTGTCATAAGGTTAGAATAATGAATGAAAATACAGACCTAAAAACCTAGATATAAAGCTAAACGAGCATCTCAAAAAGGGCTGATTTTTTGTTTACTAAAAAGCTTTCAGCACTTAATATATTGATATTTGTAATCAGCACAGTTGACTCTATCAATAAATATGTATTTAAACGAAATCAAAAAAAAAAAGAAGTTTTCCAGAGATCCCTATGGGGAACCACAGGCCCCAAAAATCTTTTGGTGATCTATACGAAAAAACCTATGGAATATCACGAGGAGTGATGCCTTACTTCAAATCGATAAAAAAGAACTAATTTTGTTGGGGGGCAAAAAAATGGCTTTATCCGTCCTCGTCCTTTACCTTCAAAATTCAACCAAGCTTCTCCACCTAATGCATACGTTACTAAACGAATCATTTTATGTAAAGCTAAACCACGTTCAACAACTAGTGTTCGTTCAGTAAGAACCGACATATGAGTGTAAATTTGTTCATTAAATAACCAGTGTGCCATTGTTTTATCACCAACAAGTGCTTGATCATGACTTTCAGCATAAGCTACATTTTTTTCTGATCATCGACGATTAGTTAATACCCATGTTATATGACCCATTTCCCAATCTTCATCCCTTATATCTCTAAAGAACTTTAAAAAAAACGAAATAAGTTTTTATTTTTAAGAAAACACAAACTTTAATCCAAAGATCCGGAATCGCCATAGCTAAACGATAATCAAAACCAGCACCACCTTCAGCAAGTGGTCGACATAATGTTGGCATGCCTGACACTTCCTTTCAAATAAATGATTTACAATTACAGGTTTTTTTTCGATAATCACCAAAAATACCTCAGCAATTGTTATTGATTCAGGAAAAAGTGTTTGAATAACATGATGAGCTAATTGAAGATAATTAAATGAATCAGTATCCGTTGCTAAACCGAAATATTCTTTATATGTACCAGAAAAATTATGTCCTGTAAAAGAAGTTTATTAGATATGAGTAAATTCAATTAGAAACTACCAAGGCCATGTGAATGATAAAGCATTGATGACACACCATCAAATCGAAATCCATCAAATTTATATTCTTCTAACCAATATCGAATATTAGAAAGAAGAAATCGCATTACTTCACGTCTAAATTAAAAATACTAATCGATATATTTATATACAAAAAAAAATCAAAATTCTGTTCTCATTTCTTAATTCTCACATATTCAGACCCATGGACAAAAAAAAAAGTTTCTCTCTTTTATCATCTAATACGTTGTATTAAACAAAACATAATATATCACAAGATATAGTGTGGAAAGCTCTACAATTTACAAAGGATAGCTGATTTTATAGTTGGACTTTTTGTTTTTAAAATGGACAAATTTTTGACGCTGCAAACAAGATCATTTTTTGGTACACGATGAATTTCTTTCTTTGTGACTTCGGTTATTCAGTCATATACAAGACCATAATCGATGGTCGAATTAAGACCATTCAATATATGTTTCAATTACAACAATATGCAATCGGATAAAGTTAAAAACAACGATTGATTGATGAATTTTGTTTTTTTTGTTTAATACACTCTATTAAGTGATGAGAGAAAGGAACTTTTGTTTGTTCATCGGAGAGTACAGAAGTGCAGTGAGATCTTCAATTTTGTAGATAAGTAAACTTACGCCAGATAATTAAAACATCGACTATCCCAAAGCATATGATAACCACGTGGACTATCATGAAAAAAGCAACTATCTGTTCCATCAAACATATTAAGTCCATCAAGAACATTTTTTGAACTATGACTATGCACAAGATCAAGTATAACAGTTAAGTCGTGTTTATGTGCTTCATCAACTAATGCTTTTAATTCTTCCAGTGTACCATAACGGCTAGAATATAGATAAACTAATCAACAAAATAAATTATTTCAATAAATAAACCTTGATGCAGCAAAAAAATTGGTTACTTGATAACCAAAACTAGCATAATAAGAATGTTCCATAATAGCCATTAATTGAATTGTATTATAACCTATATGAAAAAAAAAAACATCTATTTATTAAAATTCGAGAATATTATTATAAATAAACCTTGTTTGACAATATGAGGAATAACATTAATACGAAAATTTTCATATGTAGAAACTTCTTCTTTTGATGAGCTAATTCCAACATGAGCTTCATAAATTTTTAATCGATCACGTTTTTTTGGTTGAGGATATTTAAATTTATAAATTTGATCCTCCGATAGATTATAAAATACTCCATGATATACATTGGCTTTTTCTGGACGTTGTACATAACGTGACCATGGACAAATACGATCAACTAATTCGCCATCAGAAGTTTCCAAAAGTAACTAAAAGAAAATTTTTATTTGTAGACGATGAGATTTTTTGCATATTACTTTTATTGCTTGACCATGTTTGATTGCTGGTGATCCATCAGGTAAAGGTGGAACTGTACCTCTCCATACACCCTATTGATCACGTGTAAATGGATATTGTTTTTCTTGCCAATTATCTAGATGAAAAAAAAAGCGAAAGATTATTTTGATAAAACTTCCAGTACAAACTAAAATCTCCACGAATATACATTGCTTTTGCACCGGGTGCCCATTCTTTAATATTTATTTCATTTGTTTGGGAATTAACATGAATACCGAAGTGTTTATAAGCAGATGTAAATACATCGATACCTTGTTCTTCATTTTCAAGTTGTTTAAGAAGTTTTTGAAAGATGTAATAACTAAAAACAAAAAAAACAAATCATCATTGATTTTGCATGATTTTTTTACCGTCTTCGAATTTCATCTTGATATGGTGCAAGATATGGATCAAGTTTAAGTAAACGATCTAATTCAGGTACAACAACATTCGCGTGGTCTTTTGTTGCTTCTAATACTCTAGAATAAAATCCTAAGATAGAACAGTATGTTTTGATTAAAACTAACCTTTGTAAATTAATCACTCCGGAAAACATTAATGAGTTGATTGCGTCGAAAGCGGAATATTTCTATGTTTAGCTACGTTTTTTTCTACTATTACTGACCTTGTGTTAGTGCATAACTGTCGATAAGTTCATAGAGAACAGAAAAGAAAAAAAACTGTTATCCGCATTGGTGGTACTATTTCTTTGTGAAGCAAAGTGAGGCAAAAGAGGTCAGCTTCTGCTGATATTTTTTACGTTCTTTTTTGCGAAAAATAACAAGCAGTGGAAATGATAGTCCTACTGTATAAAAGAAAGATAATTATAGATTCATCGTTGCTATGCCATCAACTTATTAGTGAGCGATTCCAACGCTAATTCAGCGTCGATTGTATTGCAGACCTAAAAAAATTTTCATGCATATTAGAAAATATGGTGTCTAATGGAATACGTCATTAGAAACATCTTTTATTTTCATCAATTCATTTGCATATTTTTAAATATGTGGAAAAAACACGTATGATTAGGTTATGTTCAGTGAGGATTAACTATAACAATATGATGAGTAGTTCGTTATTCTTATTCAGATATAACCTTTTCCTAACGAGTACACTACTCTCGAGATGAAACAAGAAAGAAAATTTTTTTTTTGTATTTTTGTAGAAGTTTACTGACTACTAGTTTCTGTCAAGTTACCACTTGGCGTCATCGGAATCTTACAAAAAACGAAAAAAACTAGAAAAAATTATCGAGGGCTAGAAGAGTGCAAGATTTTACATGAAACTTGAAATAATAATTATACAACAACGACGGTGCACTTTGGCTAGAACGGCCTCTAGTGTGTATAATAATAAAGTATATATTGTTTATGTTATTTAGTTATTCAACTTGAAACTGTAAGCAACATTGAGAGCGACATGTGAGAAAAAAGTCACTGGCACTGATGATGTATTTGTTTGAGGTGCAGTAAACAGAACAGATCGATCGCAACATTTATTGCATTCTAATTTCGATTGAAAGAAATATTCTTTATATAGACGAAGTCTAGTTCGTATGAGAAAATTCAACAGTAAGAAAGAAAGAAAAAATATGTGAAATGTATCAAATAAAATTTTAGATGTTGAATTGATTAAGGTTCCCACAAAAAAGTTCTTCTCTTTCAGATACAACATGATTTTTAAATGGGCATCTCGTTTTAGGGCAAAGTTTTTAATAGTTTCCGTTTTTTTACAAAAAAAATTTAAGCTTGTTTTTTTCATTGAAAATAGGTATTTTGCGGCAAGGTTGAGATATTTTAATAAATTTTACCATGGTTCTTAAAAAAAAGTAAATCTCATCCAATGATGATAACAAATTAACTGTCCAACAGCAATGAAAGATTGACTGATCACCAGACAACAAGGAAAAGTTTGTTGTCAATCTAAATAAGGCAGATGGGTTCTCTAATGATAGATTATTCTTAGAAAGCAATTATCGTTTGTTACATATTGTTCATTTTACGTATTTTGTATTAGTATAATGAAGCTAAAGATATGTGAGTTCCATATTTCAGCCCCTTTGAGACAGCGCTGACAAGTTTTTCAAAACAATACTGATAAAAAAAATTATTTTATTCATTGATATAAACCAACTTATCATTAGTACTGAATTCAGGCAGATCATTGAAAAAAAACGCAGAATGCTTATAATTTGATGATTTCTTTTCTTAAGATATAACTTAATCAGAAAAAAAACCAATTATAACTACAGTATAATGAAACAAGCGGATAATTTTATACCATCATAGTATTTTATGAAAACAAATGAGAATCTAACATCTCCTAATTGAAATATATCTATCTGTCAATGTTTTCAACGCATATAGCCTAATGAATGTTCAATGAAATGAAAATAGAACAGACGACGAATTAATTTAGAAACGAATTGAAATATATGCATAATACATGATTCTGCTCAATGGTTAAAACTAATATTCGAAGAATTTCAGTTACCAGTTTGAAGCTTTCAGACTTTATTGTCTTTTTCACTATCTAACCTTGGTTTTTTCACTTATATTTCTTTTGTGAAATGAATTAAAATAAACAACGGAACTGCATCCAAATTCGATCAAGTCCATCCAGTAAGAAATCCCTTTTTCATGTGAAATCACGATTTCCCAGCACCCTCTATAAGAGAGTCGTGTGTGTATATGTATAGTGATGCGAAATCTCGAAGACTCCGAAAAATTCTTTCCAAAGACTAAAATCGTTTCAAAATAGGTTTTAACAATTGGAGGGCGTGGGTGTGATATGTATGGGCTAAGGGACACTCACACCCACACCTACACTCATACCCACCCACACTCACAGTCACACCCGCGCCCACCCGTACCCACTCCCACACCCTCTCGCTAGTATATAATAAAGAAAAGTCCTTATTTGGAAAAACTAACACTTGATAGTTTAGCATCTACATAATTTAAAAACGTATGTACTGACATCGATATGAATACATTTCTTGATTATTCTAAAAATATCATCAAAATTGATAAATCAAGATTAGTTCCATTTCAGAACAATATTATCACAGATACGCTTAATTGTATAGTTAGCCAATAACTTTTCTGTATCAATCATTTTTTGTATTTTATGAACTATTTTTTCGTTGCCATTTCGAATATTGAGACATAAACAAGTGAGATAAGGAATATGTGTATTGAGTTTTATCAAAATAAATTGTACAAGCATTTCTATATCCATATTTTCTGGAACGTTCATGTGAAAATATTGTATACGAAGACAAAAATAGAGAAGAAAATTCACTTGTTCGATATCATCATTCATCTTCTCAAGGTTAAGTTTTGCAATTTTATTATTGATCGATACTATATAAAGAAACTCAGCATCTTTTTTAAACATCCAATCTGAGTCCATGAGTAGTAAAGATGATACTTTCAATGAATCAAGATTAGGCAATAAATATATAATTCTTAGTAAAGTTCCAATAGGAATCGTCTTACAGTTAATATTCAAATGAGTAAACTGAACTGAAACAAACGTGGACTTGAAATCATCAATAAATGTTTGATTTTGTTCCCTAGAAGAGCAATCAGTGATCGAAAGCTGAATAATTGGATTAATTTGAGTCAAAACATTGTCAATACTTTTTCGACTAGAAATATTCAAATATTCTATTGATTTCTGATTAATATGTCGATCAGAATATGTGATATTTTCTGTGCGTTCTTCAAAATCAAACCATGTTTTCCTAAAATAAAAGGTAATATATATTGATACAAAACGTTTTTATGATATACTTATTTGGTTGAATTAAAAAACTGATTTCTTTATTGTTAATTTCTAACTCAAATATCCATCCTCTGTCAACCCAAAATGGTGAAGTGAATCGATTGATGATTACATCGAGAGATGTGTCTTTATAAAAATCGTAATCATATTCGGAATATTTGTAATTGAACCTACGCAAATGTGGCATGTGTTTTATGATTAATCGTTTCCATCGATCAGCATCAAGATATGCTTTACCATATTCTTGACTAATATGCAATACTTGTAATTGAGAAAATATTTTCATAAATATCTCAAATTCATCAAAGTTTATATCACACACATTGAAACGAATATATACTAAATTGGATAATGTCATTGACTGTTCAGTTTGAACATTAGAATCTGATTCTACTAAGTTATCGCAAATTAAATGGCGGAGTTGAGGTGTATGATAGAGTACAGATATAAGGTCACTAAGAGTACAAATATGATTGATAACCAGATATTCAATAGTACTAAACTGTTCATTGGGAGCCAATGGTACAAAAATATTCGCATTTTCAACATCAAACAATGAGAATAACGACAATTTATTGTATTTTAAAGAAGGTAACGAGAAAATCATTCGATAGATATCACTGAGATCAGCATTCCATTCTTCTTCAATATTCATAGTCAATGAGAAGAGGCGAAGCAAAGATTTTAAATAAAAAAGAAGAACTACAGCTCGATCGATTGATATGCGACTCAAAGCTATTGACTGAAGACGATGAAATGATGAATTGATGATACAATGTTTGAAAAAATCATTGATTACTGATTCACCTTCCAAATCAAGTGAAAGAATACGATGTACATTAGGGATAATAACAGTTTTACAGCAATGTTTGACTTCGGATGGTGCGTTAGAACACAGTTTAATATTGAGTGAAATTGATGAACAAGTAATAAGACGTTGAAAACGAGTATTAAGATTGCAAAATGCTTTGTAAATATCATAACCATCAAGATATTCAAATATTTCATAAAAAAGTTCATTTGAAAGATTTTCAATGCAGGTGATTGATATACTTTGTAAGATTGAAAAAAAAATATATGATATAATGAGAAAATATTTTTTATTACTTACTTATCTTCACTAAATGCTATTATGTGAATATAAGAAAATCAAAAAAAGCGAATTCATTCAAATTATATATGCAATGTATGACTTACTTCGTAATTTCTTGTTTTCAACATTAAGAGATTCACTGAAACTTGATTGTCGTTTGATTTGATACATATTTATCTACGATTCTGCAATATTTGTGAAATTTAGTCAATAGAATAATCTATGAAAGGACATGCAAAGTGAAAAATTGAAGTATAAAAACGCATATCATTTTTTTCTCTTTCATTACTTACTTATTGCAAACAGAACAGCACAACCATGTGCACTTTTTATAATGCTTTGTAATTGCTGATCGAGCAATTCTGTTTTTACGTTCTTCGGCTTCCTTTTTTTAATATAAAACTTCTCTGCGATGATTCATTTAAAAGAAGGAAAGCACCAAATGGTACATAAATAAATTTTCATTCATAAAATAAACTTGTCGATAAGATAAAACGTTGTTCTCTTCATTAGTGGTTTTTTTCAATAAAGTATCTATTGAACAAAATGAATGTCAAACAAACGTAGAACCAATTTCACGAGAAGTTCATGAAAATTGAAGGACACTGAATATCGAATCTTGTTAACAAAAATCGTATAATTATCATCGATTAAAAATCGATTATTTCGTGATTTTTGAAGACAAGTTTTTGACATGGGGTGTGAGTGGCTGTCTTATTATCATCGCACAACCGACATCTACACTCACACCCACACCCACATCCTCATACAGGTTATTATTATGGAGATATTATTCTTGTATTTCGTCATGAACTCATGTATCATCATGATAGTAATTTTTCAATTCAAGCAACAACTACATTTGGACAGAATAAAAATGAATATAGATTTCGACCATGGCTTACAGATCCGGGTTCACCTGAAGCATGTATTGAATATTTTCATCGAAATAAATTACACTGTTCTATACCAGGATATGAAGATGCTACTGCTTATGAACTTATAACATTGACAGGATTGGCAACAAAATCTATAAAAAATATTGATATTAAAGCTATTCAACAACGATGGCTTAATATTGATTCACATTGTGTTTTCGACATTTAATAAAACAGAACTTGATTTAAATAATCTTGAATATATTCAAAAATAAGTTCAGATTCACATACAGTACCCATATGAAATTTGATTATTCGCCATGAACCTATTAAACAATTCCATCCATCGATTGACTTGGGTTTTATTAAAGTCAATTCTACTTCTTCTGAATTCTCTACTGAGAAGTTGATTTTAGATTCGAAAATATTATCTAACCTATGCCTTGATTCGATTCATTGTCTACTTCCATATTCTGATTCAGAAGAAGGAAGAAAATACATTTCACAATATACTCATCTATGTCGTTTCTCAGAATTATATCGGAATAAAACAATTGAACCACATCTTATTCATCTTTCACATAAAATTTCTATGTGTCAATACAATAATAAATGTCAGCAACTTGACGAACCTCTTCATCGTGCACAATTTTGTCATTCTAATTTACCAGATTATCTTGTTCCATGTCGATATCAACAAAATTGCAAGACAATAAAAGTAGAACATCGAATTAAATATTCTCATAGAGAAAAAATTTCATTGCCATTATGCATAGGTATATATAATACAACTAATATAAAGAATTATTCAATAGATAAAATTGTTTTATTATTTAGAAAACTCTATAAAACAAACACATGATAAAATTAATGACAATTCATAAGTAATGGTTGCAGATTATTCAATGAACAAATCCTATACTTATTTAAATATATAATTTTCTTTTAAAAAAATTGAAATAACTTTTTCACCAATATTTATACAGAAGACATTAGGCCTGTAGGACTGACTATTCCAGCTCATGAATTCAGATCAAAAGAGCAGCGGCTATCTAGGTGTCGTCATTATAACTGTATAAAAAGGTTTACACAATTGCGCCGTATAATAAGCAAGAGTCTTGTATTTTTTGATGTGAGGGTGAGGATGAATATCATGCTCTCAGGGTATGGTTGTGATAAAACATAAAGCAAACAAAAACACGCACACCCACCCACACTCTTTACAGAGTGGATCGCAAAAGACAGGTTAAGAGCTTTTGTGAGGTTGATGCAAATGAAAGATTTGCCAAACTTTCGGCTAATGATATCGTTTGTGTGTCACGTCACACACGTTTACTTCGCCATTATTTCTTTCATATCTTGGCTTTATCTTCCAGCTTAAATTCTTTTGCTCGACTCATACGATGGACGATACAGCGAGCACGCATGTTTCGCGTTCTTCACATGAAGACTATATTGGTTGGTATACAAATGTACTCTTTACAATTACGCAAAACAGTTGAAATATTGTTAAAAAGCATTAGGGTGGCTGTGGGTGTAAATTAATCAATTTTAAACAGATCAATCTATATCCTTTTAAATAATATATAAATTAATCTGCTACTCTCAACTTTTGCTTTTCAGCAATCGATTATGTCAAAATAAAATCCTTTTAAATATATATTTTGATAATGTGCTTGAATTAAATTTAATAACAATTCCCAGGTCGAAAAAGCACGATCGTAAACGGTCGTATACGAAGAAATACGTCTAGAAACGACGTAAGTGAAGTTAGCCAAAGATTCCAGGAAACTTAGCTAGGATTCGTCTAGGAACGGCTCCAAGCTGCTATATTGCACTTCTAAGTACAACTCGACGAGCTCTATCCATTAGTGCAAATAGATTCTCGATATCTCAAACTATGTCAAAAATAATCCAAAAATACTCATATTTCACTATAGTACTCTTGGGATTCATATAGTAAAATTAGCTAGGATTCGTCTAGGAACTGTTCCAAGCTGCTCCGTTGCACTACTAAGTACAACTCGACGAGCTCTATCTAATTGTGTAAGCAGATTTTCGGTAAGCTAAATCTTACCTCTAAAAAAGGCGGAATACGAGGATTTGACGTTATGATAGATATATATATGATAAAATTCTTGGGTCATTTATACGAGGGATGATGATTAGGGCTTCCGGAAACGACCAGCAATATCTTGAGGGTGTGGGTGTGGGTGTGGGTGTGGGGTGTGGGCGTGGCTGTGAGTGTGGGTGTGAGTGTGGGTGTGAACTGTGGGTGTGGGTGTGACTGACAAGCGGACAATAACGCACACCCACCCACACCCACACCCTTATTATGCAAGTATCTTTAACTTACAATTGTACTTTTGCAATACTGTTTATTTTTCTATGCGTAATATACTCTTTTTTACGTTACCTGCATCCTATCTCTCTCTTTGATTGTTTTTAATTTAAAAATGTGTTACTCGGCTTCAAATATCATTCCGTTTTTTTTTACCGATCTTGAGCATAGCATCCGAGATGCAAGTGTTACATAGTTTTACAACTTTACTTCGAATAATGATGACAATTGTAGCGGGGTGTGCTATCCTTCTTTGGCTCACGAAGGACTTGGACTTCCCAGGAATGAAGCTTATTTGTTGCAGTCTGACTCAATACTACTTTCTGTATGTTCGAACTTGTTTCTTCTTTTAGCCGTTCTCTTCACCTTCTCGTAGACCACTTTTCGGTAATAGCTGCAATAAAACATTTTTTGAGAATTGAATATTGTCTGCGGTAAAATGAAAGCTGTATCTCACCGGAACTAAACCTGGCAGCATCAGACTTATTGAGACACAATTTACTACTAGAGCTTTCCAACGACAGGCAAATAGATAGAAAGACAAGCTAACTACCATCAGGTCATCCTCTCTGAACACGATTGTACTTCATTCTTGCCACCTGCTCATTATCTGTACGTTATGAAAATCATAGTGCATTTGTATTTTGCTTCAACAGTTCGTATGAAAACAATACAAGAAACTTGCCAATTTTTTAAGTCGAACTTGTCCACCTCTGGCAAGCATTTTAAAAGAATATAAAAGCAGCAAGAAAATTTGGCTGGAAAAACTGTATTCTTGTTAGATTTGAAAAGTATACTACTATGAAAGACAAACAAAGAAAGAAAAAGGCATATTGAAGAATGTTCTCTTGTGATGATATCCCGAATGAATATGATCGACGCTGGTGAGTGCCGTTGTACTAAAAAGAAGAAAAATCGATTATATGCCAGAGAAAAGCAATCTCAAAATGATAAATTCAGAGAAAGAATGCAAAACTCATGAAATAAAATATCACAAAATATGAATGAATAGAATCATATGCCTAATTATTCATATTTTTCAAAAATATTCTTCCACTATTAACATTCTGCAAATGCTTTATTATTTTAAAGTTTTATAGTCGAGTACATTCATGGTATATTTACGTTCATAGTTCTATTCACATATTTGCTCATGCTGAAAAGTTTGCACATTTTCTTATAGGATAAAGAATCAAACGGCAAAGGAAGAAATTTTAGCGTGATTTTATTCAACTATTTCATTCATTGCTAAGAAAAAACTCTAAATTGATGATCTGATCTGATCTGATACGAACAGTGAACAATTTTAACCAAGTTTTCATTCGATTATCTCGATCGCTTAAAAATAATCACTCTGAGTTGGCAATATAACCAAAAATCATACAGTCAACGAACTATTCTAATCAAGACTTTATTCAACTATCTCAATCACTTCAAAATAATCGTTCGGATTTACAATAGAGCAAAATATCACACAATCAAAGAGCAATTATAATCAAAATTTTATTCAACTATCTTAATAACTTGAAAGTAATCTTTCGGAATTATACAATATTATCGTATATCACGTGATCAATGGACGATTCTAACCAAGGTTTTATTCATCTATCTCAAGCGTCTCCAAGTAATCATTCGTAATTGACTATATAAATTAATATTACGCGACCAATGAACATTTTTAACCAAGATGTTATTCAACTATCTCACTCAGTTACACGTAGTAATTTGAAATCGATATTATGGTCGAAGATTGTAGGGTGAATGAATAATTTTAACGAATTTTGTATTCAACTATATCAATCCCTTCGAAGTAATCTTTTGGAATTACAACATGATTCTGTAATCGCCCGGCTAATGAAAAATTCTAAAAACGGTTTTATTCAAGTATTTCAATCACTTCCAAGTAATCATTCGTAATCAGTTACCTATGATGGAAGATCACGCGACCAACGATTAATTTTTATTAATGGTTCATTCAACTACCACAATCGCTTACAAAGACCTGTGCGAAAGTGGTAATATAATGGAAGAGTACAAGGTGGAAGAACAATTCTAAGAAAGGATTTATTCATCTATCTAGGTCGCATCGAAGTAATCATTCGGAATCGGAAGTAGGATCGAATATTACATGACCAACGAACAATACAAATTAAAGTTTTGTTCAATTATATTATTCACTTCCAAGTAATTATTCGGAGTCAGCAATATGGTCAAAAATCACACGAACAAAGAACAATTTCAAGGAATGTTTTATTTCACTATCTCAATCACATCGAAAGAAATGTTTGGAAATGATTATATAATGGAAGATCATGTGACACAAGAATAATGCTAATTAGCAAGGTTTTATTCAACTATCCCTATTATTTCGAAGTAATCATTCGACATTCGTCTTATGATCGAAGATCGCATGATCAACGAACAATTCAAACGAAGATTGTATTCAACTATATCAATCATTTCGTGGAAATCGTTGAAAATGACAACCGGACTCAGAACACAGGGCTAACGAACAATTTTAACGATCAAAATTTGATCCAAGTATTTCGTTCACTAGGAAATAAATGCTTTAACTTGATATTTTTGCCGAAGATCGTACGGCAAATGGATGATTAGAAACGTCATATTCATTTAGTAACAGATTTACGAGTTCGCGAAAGGCAAAGCGTCGCTCTGCAGAGAGATTGGCATCTCGTTCGTTTTCATGTATTGGCCAAGCGATACAGCATGTTCCGAGTATGGCTAATATGATGATGAGAAATACTAGAGTGTTGATTTGAACCATTCTTGGCGATTTATGTTCTGGAGGCCAGGTAAACAGAATGATGTTGCAGCTGTACTCCGTTCCTTATATTTCTTCGATTGAATTGCGAAGAAAAAATTATGAAAAAAATCAATACTTTCTCTCATTCGGAATCAGTGATGCGTATTGGTATTCGATTTTTATCAATAATATATCTTCCAATATGAAAAATGCGTGGTTTGTATAGTCAATTTTTTACGGTCTCTATTTATACATCGTCGTCAAACGACGAGAAACGTTTGCTTATCAGTTAGGTCGTGGGTGAGCCTGCTGATATTTCGGCCTTCAAGTATATGAAGTATAACCGCCATTTTCTCATACATTTTCTTATCTTTTCTTTTCTCATGCCACGATCGATCACAGCTAGTGAATGTATAATTAGACGACAAGAACGACCAGGGCCTGTCCAAGCGTGACAGAACTACGTTTTCTCACTTTGTCTTTTTAATATCTCAATGAAATGAAGTTGGATAAGGTAGAAATATTCACATGTTAAATAAGTGAGAATTCACCCCCCCTCTCCCACATATGCTGAAAGTTTCATGAAATTTCAACTTTCCATACTTGCTTGATGATTAACATATAGGTACGTGAGAGAATCATCAAAAAAGGAATTCATTTTGACTGTTGTTCAAAGAATGAAAAGACTTAGGTGAACTATAAATGTAAAGAACAAACTTTCTCTAAAAACATTCTAGCTCAGATGACGAGTTATGTGTACAAAAAGAAGAAAACTCAAA